TGCCTCCCAGAGGACTTAAGCAACAAAAGAAAGAATGTAGTGTTGATCAAATTTCTGAGGCCCCACAGCGTGCCTTTGGAGAGCCTGACCCTGGGTGAGCAAAGCTGTGAGGTCATCCAGCTTCAGCCTCCCCTCACCTCTTCCCTTTGGCTGGGAGGAGGAGTTCTAGATAAACACACTCAGAACCTGGGCAGGGCAAGTGGAGCTTACGGGAGAAAGCCCCGGCAAGGCAGCACAGAGCAGATGCATTTGCGGCTGCTCGCCTCCTTGGAATCCATACAGAATTCCATTATCGGATCTGGACAGCAGCTCAGGGACCTTCTCGTTCCATCCCCATTTGACAGACAAGAAAGCTGGGGCCCAGAAGGGAAAGCAGAGAGAGAGCAGGGATGGGCTCCTGACTCCCAGGGCCATGCTCCTTCCTGAGAGGCTGAGTGAAACACGCAAGTCCCAACACGCCCAAGGCCCTTTACAGATGCCAGGGGAGGGCTTGGGGTGGCTCTCCCAGCGCTTGGGCCACACAGCCCTGAGAAGACCCAACTATGGTAGACACCTCTTCCCTGATGGGTAGTGCAGGCACAGGGACCTTGAGGCCTTAAGCGGTCATATGCCCTCACCTGTACAGCAGGCCATAGCAGAGTCTTCCTCTTCCTCCCTAAGCCACGGTGAGGCTTAGGGAGCCAAGATAAGTAAATAACAGCAGTCAGCCTTTACCATGTCACATGACTGTGTGCCAGGCCCTGTGCTGAGCACTTTCAGGGGATGCTATCGTCTAATCACCACTGTGAGGCAGGCCCTCCCATTTTACAGATGGGGAAAAAAGGCTCAGAGAGAGACACAGCTGGGAGGTGGTAGGGCAGAGATTTGAACTAAAAATAAACTGATCCCAAATCCCTGGACCCAAAACCCCAGGCAAATCCTGCTTCTCCTAAATGCTTAAGCAGCACAGTGCCAGGCCCAAGGAACTCCTCAGTCATGTCACTGTGGGTGTGATAATAATTTTTGTCTCAGGGAAACCTGCCATTGGCAATGCTATCTTCTCCAAATGAGAAGAAGGAATAATGAATAGTCTGACATGTTTTACTAAACTTCATCTTTTCTTTTATTTGGAAGTAAATAGATAGTTAGCAGTTGCTCAAGATAAATGTTGAACTGAAATATTTCATGGTCTTTTTGTAAAATACAAAGAAAAGGAAGAAAACTCCCTCATCATTTCTCCAGCTGCCTTTCCCTTTCCTATGCGTGTTTATTTTTATTTTGGTTCATAGTTGTGAACATGCTGTGAGAGATTTCTGGATTCTGCCTTCTTCACTTAACATAATTCCATGAGTTCTTCCCTATATATAAATTTTTAATGACTGCAGAATATTCCATCAAGTGGATGTTTTCTTCTCCGCCTCACTTTATCCAGCTTAGGGTTTTTATTCCAACCTTGGAGCTGCAGCAAATATCCTTGGGAACATCCTTTCCTTACTTGATGGAATACATTCATATGTATTCCATTCATATACTTGATTGAATCTATTAAGCTAGTGTTGGGGGCAGTTCTGGGGACAGCGGCTCTTCTTGGTGTCCTAATGATAAAATTCTGCCAGGTTTTGTGTATCTCATCCATGCCTTAAGGCCTCCTCCCTACTTTTGAACCTCAGCTTCTGGGATAAAGGTTTCTTCTTATCTGGCTTTGTGCCCATGCCAACTTCCATACTGAGGGCAGCAGTTTCGGATCTTATTCTCAGTCCAACAGGACTGGGCTGCAGGTCGCTGGGTGTGCACTCCTGTGGGGCCTTCACTTCCCAGTGAAGGAATGGATCACCTCTATGTTTTGCCCAGAAAAAAGACAAATGTCAGACAGTCCATTTCCAGCTCTGTCTTTAAGTTACTGCAGACCGCCAACAACTTGAGCTCTCTGGACTTAGTCTTGCCACGTCTTAGCAGGAGGGTGAAGTGGTAGAATCATCAGACAGCCAGAGGTGAGCTCATTGACACTCATTTGTCTTATTTATCCCCAGGGACAAGACACTTCTAGGGGACAGAGATACTAGTGTCCATGAATAGCAGTCACCAAGTGAACAAATAAACAGCTTCCTCTATGGAAGCAGCCAAAAGCTGCTCTCCAGCCAGTGGGGTCTGTGGTTACAGGCTACCAGTACAGGGTGGAATCTCACCAGCAGAGTGAGATAGCACTGCCAACTTCTTGACCTCATCTCCTACTTCTTGCTATCCCTCAAGCTCATTCATGCAGCCCAAGGTCATTCCTGACTCAGAGCCTTTTGAACTTGGGGAGCCTCTGCCTGAAGCCCCCTTCCCTAACCCCTCCATGGCTGGCTCAAGCCTTGGCATGAATATCACCTCTCCATGGAGACCTCTGCTGGCCACCCTGCCTAAAGGCATCATCGCTCTCAGTGATTTCATCCACTGTCCTGTCCTCACAGCACCCAACGACTTTCAGAAAGGTCAATGTTGACATAAGTGTTTCCATGTTTAGTGTCCACCCACTCTTCCCTGGATGTCAAGAGAGCAGGCACCAGGGATATTAGGCTCACCATTTATTCCATGGCACTCCATAAACACATGATATATGAATGTTAGATACCACTGGCACAACTGTCCATAGCCAGCCCAGGTGTATCTAACACCTATTATATGCCTGTTACCATTCCAAGCCCTTTATGAGTAATAACCCTTGTAATGCTCTCAAGAACCCTCAAAGTAGCAATAGGTATTATTTCCATTTTATAAATGGAAAAACTGCGGCACAGATCAGCCAAGTAACTTGCCCAGGGTCTCATAACTAGCAGGGAGATCTGGGAGACTGGGGAGCATGCTGTTAAGAGTGTTAAGCCAAGCACAGGATGGAGTCCCTGTCCTCATGCAGCTTAAAGACTAATGGGCAGGTTGGCTTGGTGTACAATAAAGGAAGGCAGGGATACCTCCCAGAGAAAGTGCTTCAGCTACATCCTGGGGACCAGCAGGGGCTAACAGGGGTGAAGACTGCTGCACAGAGGAAAAGGGAGGCCTGAAGGACTAGAAGTAGGCTCCCTTGGCTGGAGCTGACAACAGAGAGATGTACCTTGGGACAAGGGTTGTGTCACCTCAACTTTGAGAGACTGAGGTTTTAAAAATTCCCGGGGGCAAAATAAGAGACAATACAATTGAGAAGAAGGGCAGGGACTCCCAGATTGTGGGAGATCAACCTCAGAGCCCCAAGTTTTATTCTTAAGTTCCCTAAGCCACACATCAAAGGCCAGCCTAGCCCCTGACCTAATGGTATGCAGAGGACACTGAGGTCTCTAGAAATTGCAGCCATCTCACTGTGTGATGTCAGGCACCTACACACCCTCTCTGGGTCTTATATTCCCAACTGGTATTAGATGACCCCGTACCCAAAGGACCTCCCTACTCCATCAGGTTTATATCTATCCACAGAATGCCATGGGCCAGTGACAGCCTGGTATCCCTGGAGTCCAGTTCTGAGACTCTCATGTACTGGCCATCTCACACTTGTGGAGGCAACCTACCACCCTGGGGCTGCAATCCAGCCTCTGGATGCGGGGCTGGGTTCTCCTGCTCCTTAGTTCTGACCAGACATGGCGGGGCAGGGCGGGGGAGTCTCCCAGGTTTGGGCTAGACTAGCGGGGGCTGCTCAGATCCTTCCAGAGACAAAGGAGCTGACCTGCAAAGAGTTCCAGCAGGAGCCCCGCTCCCCCTCCCTTCCCCCCTCTCCCTTCCCAGTCCACGTGTCTCTATTGTCTGCTCCCCGCTTCAGGGAAAGACACAGCCTCGGATGTGTCAAAACCACCACCCCCCCAGCAGCAGGGAAATTAATTACTGGGCGATTTTCACTTCCTCTCGCAGCGCTTGCCTGAGATAGGCACCAGAACATGACTGGCTGAGAGAGGCCAGCACCGGCATCGGGGACTTACTCCCCCCCCATCAGTTCTGAGAGAAGAAAGTTGAACCCCAAATGCAATAGGGGGCTCCAGTGGGAGCCCAGGCTGGGGGTGGCGGAGGGGTTTCCTCTAGTTAAAATTGGTGTCCACACAGACCACTTCACAATTGGGCCAGGGTGAGGACTGTGGGGAGGCAGGAGAGTGGTCCCTGGCCAGCTCACTATTCTTTGCACCCTCTTCCCTGCGACCCCATGTGCCTGAAGCCCACCTGCTCCGGATTGTTCTCTCTCTGCTCCCCTCCATCTCTATTTTGCAGTTTTCCCCCATTTCTTTGCATCTCTGAGGGGCTTCCTTTTTTGTGTCTGGACTTCTTTTCTTCCCGTGGGTGCAGGAGTGCGTGCTGCTACTTTCTCCTTCTCTGTCTTTCTTCTGTTTCGTGCTTGTGTCTTTTTGTCCTTATCTTGGTCTCTCTGCTTCTATTTCTACCTTTTTCAGCGTGTGTCTCTCC